TCCATTTACCTGCAAATTTCATGATTTCATCTTTCTTTACTGCTGAGTAAAACTCCATTGTAATAATGAACCACATTTTCATTAGCCTCTTGTCAATTGAGAATGGTCTTTCATTTGAAGTTGTGAGTTTTTAATGAATGTGAACCTTAGGTCTTGTGGAAGTTTTTCTGTTCTTTAATGCTTTTTAAATTCTGTTTTCTTAGGAATCAAGGTAAATGTGTAGAGGGCTTGGTGGAGCTCTTCGACATGTTGCTGGCGACGTCGTCTCAGTTCCGTATGATGAATCTTCAGGGAGAGGAGTTTGTGTGCCTCAAATCTATCATTTTGCTTAATTCTGGTGAGCTGATAACATGAATTTAATGCCGGATTGATGGAAGAAATATTTATTTGTGTTTTATTCAATTAGATTCAATTTACTATAAAGTATAATGTTATACACTGAAAGAAATTACACGTTTAAAATCACCTATAATCACTGTTGATTAATCATAGAACCATGTCGATCCAATATCGTGTATGAAAAGTGATAATTGGACATTGATTCAAATGACCTTTTCTTGAATTATTTGTATCCTTTCACAGATTTGGGTCTACTTTTCTTTGCTTATTTAAAAGGGTACCTGGAGACTGGAGATATGGCTCAGTGGTTAGGAGCACTGGCTGCTTTTGCAGAGAGCCTGGGTTTGGTTCCCAGCACCCACATGGTGGATGACAACCAGCTGTAACTCCAGTTCCAGAGAATCTGATGCCCTCTTCTGACCTCCGTAGGCATTGCACAACACTGGTGTACTTTCACACAAATAGGCAATACACCCATACACATAAAACGAAAAGCATAAATAAAATATTAAAAAATTAAAAATGTGCTTATATATAGACACATATCTTTGGATAGTTATGAGTCTAAGAAGGAAATAGACCAAGTGACCTTTTTTTTTAAATTTTATGTTTTTATTTATTTTTTACTTTTGAAGGAAAATATTCTTCCAGTTAATTATTTATTTAATAACCACATACTTAGAAGAAGCATTTCACTACAACAGCATTGACATATTCAATAACAATTTTCTGAGCTAATATGCATCTTTTTCAGAATTGGCTATAAATTTTTAGGTTTACAGTTGAATTATTACAGTTATACAATATTGTACTCAGTATAAACCCTATTGAGTGTGTTAAAGCTTTAATAAAATGCTTCTTCTAAATAATTTTTTTTAAAGGAGCAAACTGGGCCAGAGAGATGGCCCATCAGTTGAGAACACTTGCTATTCTTCTAGAGAACCTATATTCAAGTCCTAGAACACACAAGGGGTCTATCAACCATCTGTAACTCCAGATCCAGAGGATTTGATGCCCTTTTCTGTCGTCTGCAAGGCATTGCAGCCACATGGTGCACTTACATACCTACAGGAAAAATATTCATATACATAAAATAAGAATTTTTTTTCTTTTTTTTTAATTTTAGAAGAAGTGTTTCATTACAGCTTTAATATACTCAATAACAGTTTCCAGAGCAAAGATACAATTCTTTCAAAAGTGGCTATAAAATGTTTAGGCTTGCTGTTGAATTAATACAGTTATACAATATTGAATTTAGTATACGCCCTATAAGACATAAAATTGAATGAGTTTTTTAACCTTTAAAAAGATCTCCATTTCCTTTTAGAATATATTGTTCCTTGCGGAAAGACTCAATTGTTTTTGCTACTAACACTGAGATGTTGGCGCATGCATCTCTAATCTGTATGTATCTGATTATTACTAGTCATAAAAATTGTTTGCACTTGGATCCTTGGCGCCTGTGTATGTCTTCTTTTAAAACTATGACATGGCACCTTATGGGTATAACTTAGTGGTAGGCTGCATGCTTACCATGCACAAGGCCCTTGGTTCAGTCCCCAGTGTAGTACCACTAAGGAAAATAATTGTGAACAAGATACTAAAGAAAAGGGTTGAGATAGAACATGTTCCCAGTTAAAAGTGATTAATTAAAAATACAGTTAGCTTAAAGATTTAGAAAAAGATAAACCAAACTTTATCCTAAAACGTGAATGTGGAATGCTAGTCGTGGGCACTTCTTATTTGCCCTGAGCAGGTCTGAGTCTGTTCCTCTGTCTGTCCTATGGATCCATCTGAGGAACCGTAGCTAGGACCTAAGACTGCTTTGTTTGGATGCTCTGTTTCTTTTTCTGTAATGTGGTTCTTTTCCTTGGCTGTTGGATGCAAGGAGTCATCGCAGATGGAAATCGTGACTCAGCCTGAATTAGCACCTTCTTTCCAGCCCCTCGGTGTGCCATCTAAGAATTAGATCTGCAGCCCCAGGCAGCCTAAGCTCAACATTCTGTCATCTGCAGAGGAGATGCCCTTAATGGGGACCTCATCCCCACATACCCGTGATGTTGCATCTCTACATCATCACATAGAAGTCGGGGCTATTTTGAAGCCTCGGGCCTGATTTAGTTCCTCACCCCGTTACATTTGGTCTCAGATTTCTCAAGTGCAGAGCCGCGGAGTAATCACACACAGAGCCGGTGCATCCTTTTCTTCCCACTCTTTGACTCTTCCTCAAGAATACCAGTTCCTTCCTGTCTTCTGTGGCAATTTTCAACTTTTCTTCCCCATCCATGCTAGACACCCATGTTGTTTAATAGTTATCACAGTAATCATTTGCACTTATCAACTGAGAAATGGAAATTGGTACTATTACCCTAAGCAAGGACTGAATTACAGAATGAAGTTCATGAAAAAAAAAAAAAACATGATAGTACTCAGGAAGTGATTACCACTCCATTCAAGTTTCTGGTTCCACTCACACGCATTATGAATTTTCATTTGAGTCATTTGTCCTGGGCGTCCAAGAGTCCAGAGCCCACAATGGCTCTTTATTGGATGAGAGTTCTGGGAGCAGCGCCACTTGCCTGCACAGTGCTAGGTCCTGATCCTGCATCTTCTTCAGGAGAGGGTGGCATGTTTGGATGACCCGCCTGTGTGCAATCTGTTACCTTCAGGGACAGCAGGCCTAACAAGCGTGAGGAACTTTTTTTGTGTATTCCCACTCTAAACCAGGAAAGAATACCCCAGACAGGAAGTGTGATTACCTAGAGCTGTAAATGAACACAAGCGTATGCTGAACGAGGTAATGAAAATTATTTCCCTCAGTCCATGAACCCTTACCTGTGATTTTGTTGTTTCTGTTCTTATGACAGTGTGGATACATTTTTTAATATTATGCAAAAATTAAAGACAAGACATTAGATGTATATAGATGCTGGGTTTTACAACCAACTGGACAAAACTGTTAAGGTCTTACTAGGAAGTGCTTTATTGAAGCCTGGCCCAGAGCCTCAAACTGTTTGCTACTGAAGAATCGGTTTGCCATCTCATTCCTTGTGACATGAGGTGAACCTTCATGCCCTGTCTTGGTTCTTTCCTTTTGTCTCCAAATCTCTGTACATATGCTTGGTCTGGAATGGCTGGAGTACGATTTTGGAAACAGAAAGCTCTGCATACTGACAGAGTTATCTTTCCACGTGATAACAGGGCAGCAGCTTGTCTTTGGCACCAAGGACATTACTGCTGGCTCAGGAGAGTTAGAACAGAACAGAAGTCGCTTCCAACTCTAACAAGAAAAACCACTCTTCTCACCGCAGAAGTGAGCTGCATTCCGGAAGAGCAGATCTGCTGCCATGTGCAACTTTTAGTGTTTTATGCTATTCCTGAAACGGCAGAGTGAGAGGGTGAGAGTCTGAGACACACTGGGGCGTGCTGGCAAGCTTTGCCAGTGTCAAAAGCCATGGGTTGAGTTTGCATGGGTCTCGTGCAGACTACCAGCACTGCCATAGGTTTGTACGAGCAAGTTTTCAGAAGCCTGTAAGACTCTGTTCCCTTATATTCGTTTACTTCAACCCCCTGGCTCTTACACCGCCCCTTCCTCAATGGTCCCTCAGCCCTGGGTGGGTAAGATTTAATGTAGGAATCCTGTCCAGGGACCCTCCACAGCTTGGTGAGGAATTATTCACAGGTGATCACTGCTGGGTGAGAGAGAGTTGATCTTTAAGGGAATGATGCTAGACAGGCTGAACAGGCTCCCGTGAACGCACTCATACTGTGGAACATCTGGGGACACAAAGTTGACTCGATAGGCTTTACCATATATAGCAAAATGTATGAAGTCCTGTGGACGCGGTGTGGGGGGTACAGATAGGGAAAGGGAATTAAATATGATTAAGATGTATTGTATGGAAGCCACAAAAATTCTATTAAAAAATATATATTTTGGTCTTTTTGAGACAGGGTCTCCCTGTAGCCCTAGCTGTCCTGGAACTCGCTATGTAGACCAGGCTGGCCTTGAACTCACAGAGATCCACCTGCTTCTACCTCCTGAGTGCTGGGATTAAAGGCATGTGCCACCACGCCCGGCCTATTAAAATATAGTTTTAAAAAAGAAAAAAATGCATAAAAAGTAATCTGCCATGGGAAGGTTACCACCATCTGTACCCGCCCCCCACACACACGTCACACACAATGGGAGGAGTTATAGGTGTTTCTAAAACCTTAACCAATTCATGACTTTGATCTGGGATAACTCTTGACCTGTCATGAGATAAATGGCAGTCATTGTGACTTCAGGAACCTTTGACCAGAGCCACACTGGGTACGATTCAGGGAATCAGAGTTAGAAGATGCTTTGCTATCTCTGGCTAAGGTTCAGGGTAGGGAGAAAGCTCAGGTTTTATGTTGAGTTCTGACACCCAGTTCTGAGAAAGTTGTGTTCACAGTGGCCTTGGTTTTGAGGCAAAGTCCTAAGAAGTGCAGAGTTGTTTTGAGAGCTTGCTAAGAATGTCTTTCTAGAAGCCATGAAAAGATTTCCCAAAGGCCTGAATTTCCCAGGAAGATCTCTTCCTCTTCACAGCTGTTTAGGAGAAGATATTTGTCATAATTTCTGTCTTGTTTACAATAATGACTTTGCTTGACAAAGCCCAGAATCATCCATAGGACAAACACTGTTTTTCCACACCAAAGGAGAGAGGTGTTCTTGGTTAATCCAGAGATGCCTTAGCAAAATCACTGTCAGCTTCAAGGCCTTCTGAGAACTAGCTGGACAGAGTTCAAGAGGAGGGTAAACAGGAACAGAGAAGATGAGCTCAGATCAGAAGCCTGCAGAAGAGCAGCAGGAGGAGGAAGGATGGGCCCTTCGGCCACAGGAGGTGGTGGGGGAAGACATCCCAGGGCTGCCCACCATTCCGCCTGCCCAGTGTGACGTCAGTGTTTCTTCATGATTATTCAGATGTGTCCACTGCCTCCGGGCGCAGCCCTGCAGTGAATCTTCTTTCTCTT